GTTTGACTAAAGTCTTATTGATTTTAAATTTTTTATCAAAGTTCTTTGACTTTGTACATATCAGAATTTTTTGCATTTAAAACATGACATGTCACCGTTTTGCTTTTTTTTTTCCTTCAAATTTTCGGACAAACTTTATCCTACCCATTAAATGTAATTAATTCATTACTTTTAGGGAAAACAAAATATGTTTTGGTGGATAGATTTTGATTTTGTTTATATTTTAGTTTGAATTCAAATTATTATTTCTTTAACGGGTACATGTGTAAATAAATGTACCCATTTGCGCATTTGGGATATTTGCACCCATAAATATGTTATGGGTCTGGACTTGTTACATATATTATAAACTAGAAACATTGCCTGTGCGTTGTTGTGGGATTAGAAACGTATGAAAAATTCAAAGAAGGTTAATGTTATTTACACGAATGATGTTTCAACTTTTTAAAAGAATTTTTACATGAAGAGCAGAAATTGGGTGAATGAAGCTCTTGGAATTCTTAGAACCACTTTATGAATAGTATGACATGTGAGTGATCGATTGTGTAACAAAAATTAGTAAAGAGAGTCTAAGAGTGGTATATATGAAAGACACAATAAATACAAATTTATAAAAGACACAAAAGATAAGTGTTATTTTGAGATGTATGCACAACAACTAAAATACTAATGTTAAAATTTATATGATTTCGCCTAAACTAACTAAAATGATTTGTTCATTTTGGTAGGGCATTAAAAAATTAGACATAATTTAGTAGAGTAATTGCTAGAATGGATCAAACACTTTCAGCAACTAAAAGTTTTATACAACAACTTAGTTGGAGAATGCAGTATCTCAAACATATAACTGAAAAGAAAAACATGATTGGAACTTACAAATTCTACATATGAAACTGTATAACAAAATGTCAAAAAGCTGACCACATTGTTTAACAACTTTTTACCAAGAAACGTAAAATCATAGCAGCATAGCAGGGAAAATGTTGATTCATACCATATGATACAATTCGTAAAAAAAAGCAGGAAAGGGTTATTCTTAAAATACCTAAAAAACATAAGATTAGATGGATGTTTATGTATTTGGCCTTAAAAGCACACAAAAAATTAAAGATCTGGTACATCAGAACAATAGTTTGAACAATTTAGACACAAATTTCAACTCTTAGCAGGAGTTTGAGGTTTAACTAATAGAAAAATGTGGTCCAAAGAAACTAAAACTGGATCCTGGCCGTGTTAATGAGATATTATGTATAGAACAGTTTTGTGGGTGTAGAAAGCACAGCAGATTGAATTCCCATTAATAATTCAGTGAGAAATATGGAGAAAGACCGAGACATCACTTACAGAAAGTAAATTGAAATGTGCATTGTGCGGCAACAAAGGCTAAGGTCAATCAGATAATGAACAACTTCTTCACACTGTAAGCAAAAAAGTGTAAACAATGGTTAGAAAATCATTTTTTAATAAGTTGACAAGGAAAGAGAAGATTACTACCTTTCTTGGATTTCATAGTTGGGAGTTCGTTTTTGCTTCCATAAACATGGCTTTTAGAATAAACAGAAGCTGCAATGAACAAAAATTGAAAAGAATTAGAGATTTGTGGTTCTTACCCAAATTTGAGTCTACCCTCAACAAATTTTGTTTGTGCAGCCTTAAATCAGGATCACCAACTTTTATCAATTAATTAATTAAATATTAATAATCATACTTTATTTCCAAGGTGGCTTATACCTATGTGTCCACTATATACTTTGATTGTGTGGCAATAATTTTATGCAATAGAAACAATATGGCTGGGAAGGAATAGTTTTATGTGATAGAAACAATACATGCAGGGGTTCTTCCCAGTTTACAAAAGCCTTTTTCAATCATTGGAGTGAAAAATTTAGAAATGCAACAGTTAAATATCTGCATTAAAAGAACCAAAGCGTTACAAACTGAAATTTGTTCATTAAAAATGCAAATAAACTCTGCTGCAAAGCAACAAAACTAATTTAACAATCTTATTTAAACCTTAATAGAAAACTTGTACCAAACAAATAAATAAAGGCCTAATTTTCCAACAAAATAAAACAAATTGATAAAAAGAAGCTAATCGTGTCCCCTCCTTATACTCCAGATAAACCAACATTGAGAGTAAATACTGTGATGTAGCTAGCTGACTAATCACCTAGAACACCTAAAAAAATTCACTGAGAACCAAATAAAGAGTAGCCAATTCCCAATTGGGAAAGACTTCAAAGACCAAAAGTAACAATGAATTCGAACCTCAGTCAGAAGAAAACCACAATTCATTGAAAACTTCTACCAAATTCAATAAGTGTACAAATTTTTCCCAAGATCTTAAAATGTATAAGTAAAACTGTAAACACTCAATCACTATTTACAAATAGATAATTGTTTAAAAAATATAAATCACCAGTTAGGACTGATAAGTAATGTATACATATATGGGAGCTATTTTGTAAACATATTTTCTGAATATAAATTAAAATTTTCTAATTATATTTAGTGTTATCAGGATATGTCTAAGAATATTGAAGAAATTTTTGACAGTTAACTACACCTTTACTTGTTGGTAGGGGTGGGCAAACAAGTCTTGGACCCGCGGGTCGGGGCGGATCCATGCAGTTCGAGGTGGGTCCAAAAATTATAAATACAAAACGGGGCGGGCCGGTTCCTGGTACATAACGGGGTAGGCCGGTTCTAAATATTGGAGAAAATGGGCCACTGGCCCGGACCGTTTAAATCTCTACCCTCTAATTCTATCACCCTCTCTCTCTCTCTCTCTTATTCTTAGAGCCATTCATTCAACTCTCCCCTCACCCTCTCTCTCTATCCCGACTCCGAGTCTCCAACACCACTCCAAGTCTCTTCCCTCGATCTCTCCTCCTTGAATCTCCTTTCCTCTCTCATCTCAGACCTCAATCTCGAGCCCAGGCCCCCATCTCAGATGTCAATCTTGAGCCTAGGCTCCCAAATCATGGCCTACGTGGAAGCCGTCCATTAGAACAACTTCAACCTTGCCAAAGCTCTGGTGACCAGATCAACTACCTGACAGGTTCACAAACAGGTGCCATGTGTAAAGTCACCACATTCTTTGCCGAAACCCTGGCCCATCGAATCTCCCTCAGCCGCCGATCGACCACTCCTTCTCCGACATGCTGAAGATGCACTTTTACGATACCTGTCAAGGTTAACTCGGTCTTCAAGTTGCACAAGCTGCTGGCCCAACCCAGCTTGATTGAGAAGGTGCTGTCAGTGGTGAAGCAAATGAAGCTGGAGATTGTGACTATGGTGGAGTAGGAGTTGAATCGCTTGGAAATGGCACGGCAGCAAATGAGGGTCTTGTTGTCCGAGAATGAGTCGAAAATTTGGAGGATGAGTGAGTCTGGCAGGTGATCCAAATCGAAAAAAAAGAAGTAAGAGGACCTGTGGACCCATCCCGAACCGGCCAGTTTGAAACAGGCCAGGTTAGGTCCGGTTCCTGTGATTAGATTTGCAATACCCGGTTTGACCCATCCTGTTTCCTTTTTAAGCGGGTTTGGTCCGGTCCCTCCAAATTTGGACCCAGCCTGGCCCGTGCCCACCCCTAGCTGTTGGCATTGGCATTGATTAGTGGGTGAAACAAATTTCCAAGTTAACTAAACGTTTCTGCATAAAAAGAAAGCTTGTGTCATTTCACTAAATAATAAAAATTTGCCAGGTTGAAGGTAAAATTAAATACTAATGAAATGAAGTAACCTGTAACATTTTCTTGCAAACAACACTCAACGAAGTCAACACATAAGCTCTTCTCTCCAGGACAAAAAGTTGGGTCATATGTTTTAAGAAAATAAGTCTAAAAAAAAAAAAGGAAAAAAAGTGTGAACTTTTTTCTGAGAAACTGGAAGCCAAGTTGTGACCAGAGAGGGAAACAATCATGTTATAACAAAATTCTTAACCACCATTAAAGATACTTTATCTCTCTTTGTGATCTCTAATTATCATTTAATTCCAAAATTGATACAATACAACATAGCAGTTTTAGTTAAGCACTAGCAAAAATGCCCGCGTGTTGCTGCAGAACTTGAATACACCAACCTTAACTACATGAATAAGACAGTTAACCTGAAAAGAGAATTCAACATAATCCTGAATGAACCAAAGGGATATATGAGTGAAGGGTGTCGGTAAGATGAGCAGTTCGGTTTTTATATACATTCAACCGAGCTGATTACAAAAGACACAGTTGCAAAAAAATGCTCTGTTTCCTGAGCACGGGGTGGGCACGGGCCAGGTTGATTACAAAAGACACAGTTGCCCTTCAAGTTAAGATAGCAAAATATATGCCCTGCAGGCAAGGCATGTGTTTTAACAGCTAAACAAAAAAGCAAAAAAAGAGAGATTAAGGCATTTAAATAATTAGACGAAGTAGATGGAGAATAGTAAAAAGTTGGGGAGGGAAGTGATAATCTCTGCAGTGGCATTGGGCTGGCTGCCAGCCTCAGAAGTACCTCAAGAGGAAACAAATCAAACACACTGCATTAGCAATTTGATTTACAAAGCAGAATGACATATAATTCATATACTATTAAATCATTATACCGTGAGTTATTTACTACTGGTTCTCTGCAATTAAGCTTTTATATGCAACTTCAGAATATATTGACCCAAAAAATCCCCACGAACCCCAAACAAAACAACTAAACATGCCAATCCTAAGAACACAAACCATATCAAAAACAGTTAACCACACACATAAACACAATTGTGTCTACACAGTGGCCTTTAATTAATTTATAATATGCATGAGTAAACCCTAAAAAACAAAAATCAAAGTTACAAACTTTGAGTACAAATCAATCCAGCATGAATTTATACCACACATTCTGGCATAAAAGAAAAGAAAAATCACAACTAATATTTTAAATTAAATTCATGAAAAGCACACAAATTCAGTGAAAAGAGAATGAGAGAGAGAGAGAGAGAGAGAGAGAGAGAGAGAGAGAGAGAGAGATTACTCAGATAGTTCTTTGAAGCAAGGGACGCGTGACTGCATAGCACTCTTAATCTGGGACTGGATATCATGCGCCTCCTTCAGAGGGCTCTTGCTATCTTGCGCATCCTCCACCATTACCATGAACTCCCCCTCTCTGTCTCACTTCCCCTCCCTAAAATCGGAGACTCTTTGTCAGCAAATCCCATAGATTCAGAAATCTAACCCCGAAAACTGTTATCCAGAACCTTCATGAATCACTTCCACAGAAACACACCGATCATAGTAATTTATTGATCAATTATACCAGTGCATTCATCAAATAAGCATTTCCAAAATACAGACTTAGCAGATAAACATAACCTAAGGCACAAATTCACACGGATAGAGAAAATCAAGTTCCACAACCTACGAAAACAAAGTGGCAACTGAGAGATTGTTTGAGGGATTTGAGACTCAGCTTCTTCCATAAACAACATACCTAGAACTCCCCAAGTTTTCAAATGGAAATTAAACATTTAAATAGCTTATAGTAATTTAACAAATTCTTCATTAGTGGAGTAAATAATTTGCAACCACCTATTTCCTGGTAGCATAAAATAAAAAATTCAATTTAAAAAAAGAAATGTACTTTTTAGTTCAATTTCCACAACCATAGTAATTTATGTGGACTAAAATTAAGATTAACAAATACATCCAATCAACTGCAACTAAACAACTTATAGTAATTGAATCTGTGTTTGTGGATGTGAGAGAGAGAGAGAGAGAGAGAGAGAGAGAGAGAGAGAGAGAGAGAGAGAGAGAGAGAGAGAGTTATCTATTATAAAGCCAACCTTCTTTGAATTCACTTCTTGGTCCTCTTGTGGCTTATTACCAAAACTCTCCACTGCATTTGCAGTAATGCCCTCTGCTTCTCCTCCTGCGATAATTATCATTCTGTAAGTAAAAGGTACAAAAATATCAATTATTTAATGGTAGATATGTACTTTAGACTTTTGAAGATCCAATTCATCCTGCATCTTCTCACACTCATCTTCATGCTGAAGCTGCAAACCTGTCAGCTCAGCTTCAAGTTCGCTCCTCATTGAAGTTATTTTCTATGAAAATGATAAACTGGTTTGTAACGTAAGCATATAACACTCTAGTTAAATTAGTAGTTCCAACTTAATTCAAAGCTAAAAACGACATTAACGACCACAATTTAAGAATCCAGAAACAGCCCAAACTAACAACACACACAGAGGACAGACACTGAAAGACATATTTTTTTAGAGAACCTAACTAAAAATTAAAAACAAACCAAGTAAAATTTTCAGAGTTTAAAAACAGGAAACCATTACAATCTTTACAGAAACCAACTAAAATTGGAAGCTGAAAAAAAATCCGCTCAATTTTAACAGCCCTGCTGCATATATTGGGTTTTTTTAGGCATGAGATAACACGAACGAAGAAAACATAACATAGTTGTAAACCTTAGGCTCCAATCAGGTCAAGTGTGAGATTTCAAACACGGAGATTTACTCCATGTTTATAAACTGCCAAATACATTGCAAACTGTTAAGAGCATGAACCACAAATCTATAAAGTAAAAAGACTCGCAGATAAGTTTAAACGATCAACATTCAACTTATGATTGTTACTGTTTTTTAGCTGGACGTTCACATTCTAATATGGTATTAAAAGAGATTATAAGCGTGTGTGCTCTTAAACCACCCAACACCATGTATTAATCAAATAATTAACATCTAAAGATGGAGACATGAAACACGAAACCTGCAATTAGATCCCAATCACAAAATGCCAAAAAAAATCCTAATCTAACCATCCCTATACTAATAGCCCATTCGAGCAGCTATTAGCACCTAACCCGCTACTTTGGCAACCCACCAACCCGCCACACGGTCATGTCCCATCCCCTCTCCACCACTCACTATATCTCTCACCTTTCTTTCTTGACATTGCGCTCGGTGCACACAAACACCAAGCCAACCATTGCCAGCCTTTGTCTAAAAGTGGACAAAATCCCATAGGTCCTGACAGAGGACCTAGCTAAATCTCTCTCCCACTCAGTCGAAACCCGTAGCTACCATTTCTCTCCAATCCGTCAGTCCCTATGTCCCCCTCTTCTCCTCCCCTCAACGACCCTCTGACCGATGCATCACCTACAGCCACACCCACCCGCACTCGAGTCAAAAATCCCAACGATCCTCTCCCTCCAACCCGTCAACAAATTATGGATTCCGAGGATGTATCTTGAAAACTCAGATGCACATGATTAAAATTAGTAGATATTAAGGACGTGTACTTAACAGAACAACACGAAGAACGAATGAGTACATTACAAACTAAATGACTGTGTCAGCTAGATACTTCTTAAAGAACACCTCCAATCTACCAGTTTGATTACTCAGTTTTTGGTTTTTAAATTAATACCCTAAACCTTACATTCAAACTTATTTCGAATGCAAATGAAAAGTAAATGATAAGTCCCGAGCCTTTCTTTCTAGCCTCAACTCAACTCAAGTTCCCAACCTTCACCTTCTAATACAAAGAAACTAACACATCAATCTGCAATTTCGCAAACATATAATTCAACTAACCAAGTTCTGTGTCCACTCAAATGCACATATTTGAGCTCAATCAAACTTAAATTTGAAACAAATAGTAATGAAAGATCAAACATTTATACCTAGCTTAGGATCCAAACCAATCTCCTCTTTCGCCTCCCTCGTCGCCGTGTCCCCATCGTCCTTGTCCCCCTCCTCTGTTTTCCCACCCGGCAAAGAAACTTCACTTGCAAACACAAAACCAAAAATTAAAAAACCAATCTTTCCCATTTCCATTTTATCAATTTCCTCAAATTTTCCCATTTCCAGAAAAATGAGCAAGAAAAGCAGGAAAAAATCATATTTTCAACAACCAAAACCCAATACCCATTTAATCATACACGAACGAAAAATCTAAACACAGAGTCACATATTAACGAACTGAAAACCCAAAAAAAAATAAAGGAAACTGACCTTACTTAAGAACAATACATAGAACAGAGAGATGCATCCGCAAAATGAGAGAAAACGAAACAAATAAAGGAACCCCCAAAACCAAATAAAGGAACCCTCAAAACCTGACCTAACAGTGCAACAAAATATGGAAATAATTCACAGCAAAAAGGCATAAATGATGACAATCTATGCTAACAGTAAAGAATCGAATTAAAAATTGAACTTAGCTTTCGAAATCCAGCCACTCATCCGACATGCAAAAGGAAACGGACAATCGAGAGTGAATCATGGACTGAGGGACCTTACTCGACCCATCATTGGAGCTACGTTAGTAGCTTTTGGGAGAATAAAATTGAATGTGAAAGCTGCTTTTGATGTGGCCATTAAGATCGTGCTTCAGCCACCGAAGCAAAAGAAGAAGAGGCAGAAAAATGTGAGTATTCCATGAAGAAAAAAAAAAGGGTTAAAAATTCACTAAAAAGAAAAGGCAGAAAAATACAGGGTATTCCATGAAGAAAAATTCAACAATTAAATAATATAGTTGTAAACCTTAGACTCCAATCAGGTCAAGTGTGAGATTTCAAACACAGAGATTTACTTCATGTTTAAAAACTGCTACATACATTGCTAACTGTTAAGAGCATGAACTACAAATCTGTAAAGTAAAAAGCCTTGCAGATAAGTTTAAATGATCAACTGTGAACTTATTATTGTTGCTGGTTTTGAGGTGGACGTTCGTATTCTAACATGGTATTAAAAAAGATTATAAGTGTGTGCGCTCTTAAATCAGTCAACACCATGTATTGATCAAATAATTTATATCTAAAGATTGAGACATACAACATGAAACCTGCAATTAGATCCCAATCACAAAATGCTATAAAAAAATTCCTAATCTAACCATCCATATACTAACAACCTATTCAAGCAGCTATTAGCACAATTTACCTCCCTCTCTATTCTTCCCCACCCCCTCTTTAACCAAATAAAAACTCATTTGTCTCACTAAATAAAAACCTCAAATTTGTTTTTTCAAAGCTGCAACAACATCACTAAAAACACCATCTAATAAAAATTTAAAAAAACCAATCCAATTTAAGTCGAGAATGACCAAACTTTCTTAATTTCTTCTTAAGCTATAACAATACACCACATCCACAACCACAAAAAACCAAAAATTGGTACAATTTAAATTTCTTTTTCTACCAGAAATGAAAAATCTTGTGATTTATAGCCATGTCATCAACAGTACCACCACATCTTAAATAAATGAATAACAATATACTGACTGATGCTTAACTAAGAAACCCAAGCTTGAACACAAACCAAGACATAAGATACTCACCAAACTTTTTAAATGGCTCAATTGTTTGCTTAACATGACAACTTTTTCCTGCAATTCGTAAATAAGATCATTAGATGTAGTAAATAAAAATTATAAAAGCAAAATTCTCACCTCAGGTACGCAACAGAGGTTAAATTTCTAATGTAAAAAAATAAAACTCTTGCATCTAGCGAACCTAGTTAGTCCTCAACACGAAACAAACAGATTTTAAGCAGTTAAATGCACATCCAACTACAAAGAAACCAATTCAAGGCTTAAACCTAGCTTATGACTACACTGAAATGACAAAGAAAATCCATATTAACAAACTGATAGAAACTTGTTTCTCCCTACTAATAATATAGAAAATCTTACTAATGGCCAGGCCGAAACGAATATGAAAAAAAAATCACCTGAACAGAGCCTAATCCAAATACATATTTCTTCATCGAACTCAACCTTTCAACAAAAAGCTAATAAAGGAAAACCACAGTCATGTTAATTTCCTCATCGTAATTGGGACCAAGCATAATATTCTTTTCATTAAATTTAAGTAACAATATGTCAAATTCATAGATTTCACCTCAAGGGCAATGTTACTTGAGTACAAAGAGCTTCGAACCCTGCAAATAAAAGCCCCAAAATTTGAAGAAAAAAAAAGAGACTCCACAAAAGCAAGGATTTTAAAACACCACAATATTTACCTACTACTAAGCACAGTTTTTAAAAAATGAGTATAAGACTAACCTTTACAGAGTACCTATGAATCACTTCCAAAATGAGCACAAAATGTGAAACAGCACCTATCCAAAGTTAAAAATCAAAACTAATTAAATCACAATTAGGCAAGAACAACAAAATGCGACAAACAAAATGAAAACACCAAAATGCCTAATTTCCCCCAATCGTCATGTTCAACCACATTCCATCTAATTTTCGGTCCATACGTGCATTTAATTAAAGTGGCCATTTATAAAAGTTTTCGTCTAAAGTTTAGTCACTGGGAAATTGTAGGTAATGGGCTACATGTTCAAGGGTGAAAACTGGCAGAATAGCCTAAAAAGATAAGTTGAAACAGTATATTAGCAGTTTTGAGAACAATAATAAGGGCACCACAAACCTTGATTGACATCAAACAACAACCTCCTATTTTGAGGAAACATTTTGCATTCAAACCTAAAATCCTTGCCTGCAAAGAAGGATTAAATAGCAAAGCAGACTTTTGGGGAAAATAAAAAAAACAGACTATTTATAAATTATAATACAATAAAAATAAAGTAATTCATCCTCCCCACCACAAAATATAATTTTACCGTGGTAAGCTTTTTGATTCACTCCAAACGAAGATATTATATGTTCACATATATATATTCACAACCATAAGAAAGAAGAAACTAATCTCTGGCGTTTTAATAAAAAAAAAAAAAAATTATTCACCCACAGTAAAAACCGAAACAGCTAAATTAAACCCAAAAATTAATCATGATCATACATATGTATTCCTGACAAATGTTTAGCCCTTTAATTAAAACACTAAAATAAAAAATTGCTCGCCCACAGTTAAAAACCCAAACATGCAAACCAAAGCCCAAAATTTAATCATCACTATTACTTTTTTTTTTTTAAAGTTTCAGGGAAAAATGGAAGCACAAGCAATCAAAAAACCCAAACAAAAAGAAATTAACACTAAAGAGATAAATTATATACCTGACCCAGAAAAAACTTGGAAGCTCACATAATGAAACCCTAAAACTCGAAGAAGGATGCTTCCTGCAAACCAAATACAAAATCAGACTCTCTCTCTTAGAAAGAGAGAAGTTATCAAGTCCTGTACTTGGTTATATTTGTTCAAGTTGGGAAAAATCGAGTACAGGGTTGGTACTTGGAGCTTGAGAAATCAAAGAGCTTGCCTGTTTGAGAAAAGATGATAACAACAGCTTCAGATTCACACAGAAAACGTACAAAAAACGCACAGCATGCTCTCTGCCCTCTCTCTCTCTCTCTCTCACTGTCCATCCGTCCCTCAAAAAGTGGGAAAAAAAATCTCCAAACATCTCTCCCACTCATGAAATCGAGGATCTGCAGCAATGGTGCTGAGATCCCCACTCCTCCCTCTCCCTTTCTCTGTCGCTCTGTCTCTCTCTCTATCAAAGGCATGGCCTCCCATCCCCGAAACCCTCACTGAATGACAGCAAACCCAAACCCACCCCAATCTGTCTCAAACGCACAGGACAAAATTGCCCTTCCAACCCAGCCCCAATACCAGCCCAAACCTCACGGTTTTGTTGTAAATAGCGTGAAATCGAGTGGCTCTCTGATAATCTATATGGACAAAATTACCCTCTGAAATTTTGAGAATTACCCTCCCAACCCATGCAATTCGGCCGGTATTTTTGTAAATAGGGTGAAATCGAGTGGCAAAGAATGAGGCAGAGCTACAGTGCCGTCCCCCCCCCTTCAATTTTAGAATAGATAATTGCGTAAAATGATAATTCTCTACACTGACAACCACTATTATCATAATAAATTACAAATGAATTAAATCAACCTAGGCAGACTGTAAAAGCAACATATATATTTTTCCAACTTACAAAGAACCAATAGAGAAAATCCAATTGAAAACCAAACAGCCCAAACACACCATGAAGATTATACAATCAGAAGAAGAGATATTTGGAGAAGAGTTCATTACATAGTTTGAATGAAGGCAGCCGAGCAGCAGCAGAAATTGAAAAAAAAGGAACAACTTTGGCCTCAAATTTTCTCCTGAATAATTGAACAAAATAATAAAATTAACAGGTAGGAGTGATAATGTTATTAATATGTGGGTTGTGTCTTTGAAACACCAAGAGGTCAAAAAATCGAAACAAAGTGGAATATAAATCTTAAAAAATTTAAGCCAAAAACATCCTCCCTGGATAAAACTGAACGAAAAATTCATAAATATAAAATTACAAAAATTAAATCATTGGAAAAACGAAACGTACATGACAACGAATAAGGCACTTGCAGGCCTCTTAAGATTGTATGGATCCTTCGCAACCTCCGTGCTCTCATCTCCGCGTTTACTCTTCAACCTATAAAAATCAGATACCAACACAGACACACAAATAATGATGAGATATGTGCATAATATCAAACAGAGCTTGGTGGTGATCTTTTCAAAAGTCAAGTTCGCATTACAACTTTATATTTGTTTTCACTTACACTGATGATACGTATAATTAAGACACAGAAACTCATGAACCAGCCTGTCATTTAGAAACAGCCAAAAACCGATATTAATAAATAAAAAAGAAGTCGGAGAAAAAATAGAGAGAAAACAATTCAAAGTTTTAAAACTAATAAGGTTTGAGTCTATAATATATGATCATGACGGAATGGAAACTAAGTGTCCCTAAAATTATCATTCTACCTTTTCAATGAAAACATAATCTTCTTCCATACAAACGCCATCTTCTAAGTTCATTTTTTTTCTGTGAATGAAAGGAGATGTGAATATGAATGAGGGTTTAACGTAGACAAATAGTCTAAACAGAGAGTTATCACACCCAAACTTTTCTTTTAAAAAAAAAATTAATGCAAAAGAGGATAAGTAATCATTTTATAAATGGACAAATTTGTAATTAAAAATTTATTAAATGGTGGGTGCGAAGATAAGGAGAAAAACTTGTGTGGGGCTTGGCTTACCACTGGATTTTGCCGAGTGGTACTACAATCCACTAAAAAATCGCCATGTGACAAGTCTTAAATATAATTTTTTTCCCATTCTTTTATATTTAGGATTCTCATAATTATATTTCTCACTAATTAATACACATCAATCTAATGGATTTTTTTGTTTTCTTTCTTTTTTTTTAAAAGGGGGACAACTGGTGGCAAGCCATAGTTATCCACCCCAAATATTCCCTCCAATTTATGTTGTAGGACTCTTTCACTTTATTCTCTCTCCCACTTCTTTGTCTCTCCAACTTTTTTCTAGTCACTGTTCTTCAGAAAAAATTTTGTACCCTAAACAAAATTGTGGATGCAAATTTCTTCCTCCTTGATCTTGGACAATTTTGCACCTACAAAACAATTAACACCTTAGGTTAAGGCCAAGAGCCTCACGCGCCCACGATGAATGGGGGGGGCTTTGGCCAAAGACCTCCGATGCCAAAGTTAGAATTTAGAGAGAAATAGTATTTAGAGAATTTTTGGATTTTTGCCAAAGTGTTGGAGTGAATATTTGGTGAAAATAGGAGCCTATTTATAGGGCTAGGTTGGTTTAGGTTTTATTTTGGTTTAATTAGCCAATTAATTGGCTAATTAAACATAAAAGGAAATATTTTTGTGGTTATGGAATTAATTGGCTAATAAAAAGGAAGAAATGGTGAAAAAGGTAGAAAAAGTGATGGATTAGGTTTTGAATGGGGAGAGCCGGCCATGTGGTGTTTTAGGGTTGAATTGGATGTGTTTTGTGGTTATTTGGATATAATGGATGGTTTAATTGACAATTAATGGGTTAATTAGGCAATAAACCCATTAATTAGACAATTAACATAATTTAAAAGGAATGTGTTTGGGAATTACCTTGTAGAAAGGATTTGATGAGATGGACTTTGAATTGTTACCTATTTTGGGCACTTCTGTCTTGGTTGAAAGACGGTTGTCCGCTGCTTGCGCGTAGGAACCTCGTTGTACTGTAAGGGTATTTTTGTCCTTTTTGTCCAAAAATCCACGTGTCGCCTTGAGAATATTTTTGGCTCCACAAATGCTCCCACACCTATTGGGCTGCTCGCAGAAAAGGGCAGCAGGTGTAGAGATCTTCTTGCTTTAGGAAACTTAGGACTGCTTCCTATTTTGATGTAGATTCTCTCTTTAATAAGAAATTAGATCATTCTAGGAAAGGGAAATAAATTTCTCTCAAAGCCTATTTAAGTCCACCTTAAGTGGGTTATTAAATCAACTTTGGAGAGCGATTTATTCTACCCTACAAGAGAGAGATAGCTTAGAGGATATTTGTTCCCCCTCCTCTAGCAATCTTTTACATCTTGCCCGTGCGAAGGACCGTCTTTCGTTACTTTCTTCGTCTTCTTCGTGCCACACTGAGGTAAGAAAAAATTAATTTTCCTTGTCTTCTTCTTGGATGGTGCTACCGCGGGGCAGCCGTCGGGGTGGTGCGGCACGTCAGCTGGCATGGGCCAGAAGTCGGCTCGGCATGGGCCGAGGAGGTATTGTGGTAGGGACCACTGCTTTAAGCTGCTTGACTTGGCTAGAACCAAGGGCAGCTTGTGAGGCTGGGGCCGCGGATTGTTTTGCTGGGGCGCAGTACTAGGCGAGTCACATGGTTCATGTCCTTTTAGGCTTTTGGACACAACGCAAGCTAGGTCGGTGATTGAGAGAAATGAAGAGGTTGCGGGCCTCATGAGCTGCTGGAATGTTGGGTTGAACTCCCCTGCTAGGTACCACGAATGACGTTGGCTACTTTAACTCTCTTCGTTAGGAGAAACATGGGCTGCTCCCAAAAGATGAGGTGAATAGGATCAAGGCGGATGCATTGGCTCGTCCAATCACTGTTGTGGATCCTGCTGCAAGTGAAGGTGGGAAAAAAGGATATTCCCTGCCTGCTCAAGAGAAGCCGGCTGAGAAAAACCAAAGACTTCTTTCGCTCGCGCGGGTTCGTCGACTGTCTCCAGGCTT